TAGAATCATGTCAAGAATCTTTTCTGACCACAACAGCATGAAACTAGAAATTAATTACAAGAGTAAAACTGGAAAATTCACAAGTATGTAGAGATTAAACAGCATGCTATCAAACAGCTAATGGGTCGAAGAAGAATTCAAAAGAGAAATTTAAAAAATGCTGAGAAAAATGAAAATGGAAATATAAATACCAAAACTTGTGGGATGCAGCAAAAACAGTTTTAAGAGGGAAGTTCCTAGCTATAAATGTCTATATCAAGAAACAAGAAAAGTCTCAAATAAAAACATAACTTGACACTTCAAAGAGTCAGAAAAAGATGAACAAAGCCTAAAGTTAAAAGGAAGGAAATAAGATCAGAGAAGAAATAAAAAGAGACTAAAAAATAAAGATCAATGAAACAAAGAGCGGATTCCCTGAAAGATAAACAAAACTGATAAACCTTTAGCTAGATTCATCAAGAAAAAGAGGACCCAAATAAATAAAACCAGAAATGAAACAGGAAATGTTACGAATGATACCACGGAAATACAAAGGCTCATAAAAGACTACTGCAAGCAGTTACATGCCAACAAACTAGACAACCTAGAACAGGTAAATTCCTAGGTACACACAACCTACTGAGACTGAATCATGATTACACAGAAAATGTGAACAGACTGATACTTAGTAAGAAGATTGAATCGGTAATTTAAAACTTCCAAGAAAAGAAAAATCTAGGACAGTCTCTTCCATTAATTCACTAGCTTCACTGGTGAATTCCACCAATCATTCAAAGAATTATTACCAATCCTTCTCCAACTTTCAAGTTCTTCCAAATATAGAAGAGGAAGAAACACCTTCCAACTCATTCTATGAGACCAACATTAGCCTGAAACCAAAACCAGATAAGGATGCCACAGGAAAGAGAATCACAGGCCAACATCCCTGACAAACATAGATGCGATAATCCTCAGCTACACAGCAGCAAACCAAATCACCAACACACTAAAGGATCATTCAACATGATCAAGTGAGATTTACTCCAGGGATGCAAGGACAGTCTAACACCCACCCACCAGTCAGTGGGATACACCACATTAACAACATGAAGGGTAGAAATCACATGATCATCTCAGTGAATGCAGAAAAGCACTTGACCGACTTCAATATCCACTCATGACAAAGACTTCCAACAAAGTGGACACCGAGGAAATCAACCTCCACATCACAAAGGCCATGTATGACACGCCCACAGCTAACGCCATACACAACAGTGGAAAGCTGAAAAGTTTTCCCAAGATCAGGAGCAAGACAAGGATGCCCACTGTCACAACTTTAATTCAACATAGTACTAGAAGTCTTAGCCAGAGCAATGAAGCAAGAATAAGAAATAAAAGGTATTCACACTGGTAAAGAAGAAGTAAAACTGTCATTATTTCCAGGTGACATGATGTTATATATCGAAAACCCTAAAGACTCCACCAAAAAGCTGTTAGAATGAACAAATTTAGTAAAACTGCAGGGTACAAAATCAACTTACAAAAAAATCGGTTGCCTTTCTATAGCAGACTAACAGAAAGAGCAATGTTTTTTAAACCTTCCATTTACAATTGCATCAAAAGAAAAAATATGCTTAGGAATGAATTTAACCAAGGAGATGAAACACCTATATATTGAGAGCTACAAGACATTAAAGAAATGAAAGACAACAAAAACAAATGGAAAGATATTCCATGCTCAGGGATTGAAAGAACACTGTTAAAATGTCCATACTACCCCAAATGATGTGCAGATTCAACACAATCCCTATCAAAATTCCAATGGCATTTCTCAAAGAAATAGAGCAAGTAATCCTAAAATTTGTACAGATCCATAAAAAGCCCGAATAGGCAATGCAACCTTGAGAAAGAATAAAGATTGAGGCATCATGCTCCCGGGTTTCAAACTATATTACAAATCTGTAGTAATTAAAACAGTATATATCGCCATAAAACCAGACACATGGATCAGTGGAACAGAATAAAGAGCTCAGAAATAAACCCATGCTTCTATGGTCAATTAACTTAGGACAAAGGAGCCAAGAATATACAAGGAGGAAAGGACAGTCTCTTTGATAAATGGTGTTGGGACAACCTGACAGGCACATGCGAAAGAATGAAACCCGACCACTTTCTCACACCAGGCACAAAAATTAACTCAAGACAGTTTATAGACTTGAACGTCAGATCTGAAACCACAGAACTCGTAGAAGAAAACATTGGTGGTAAGCTCCTTGACAAAGGTCTTGGCAATAATTTTCCGAATCCGACACCAAAAGCAAAAATAAATAAGTTGGACTACATTATCCTAGAAAGCTCGCACACACCAGAGAAAACCACACATGCACAGAGAACAATCTGGATGGACACTACACTACATTGTTAGCAGTGACCAGCTGCTGCTGTTTTGCATCAAACCTGTAAACTCCTGTTAGAAGAAAAAAAAAATTCTGTTCAGAAGGGAAGAAAGAGGTAATAGTGTGGATATGGCAGTGGAGAGCTAGTGTGCCCACATTCCAGGTCTGCCGTACGGGACAGTATACAAGTAAGCGGCATTAGACAGGATGACAGAGGAACCCATTTCCTTGAGCGAGAACCAGGCCTCTAAGGCCCAGAGGTGGAGGGAATGTTTTGTAGAGAACTGACCATGCTTTCCTGACCGTTCTGTTATTCCTGTCATATTTCTATTAAAGCCCCTATCACACTTTGGTGTAAATATTTGTGTAACTGTCAAAACATAGTAGATGACATGCTTCAAAAAAAAAAAAAAGTTTATGCTATCTTTTTTGTCAGAATTCAAATATTTATATTTAATTGCTCTTTTTACTAGTAAAAGGGTTTTAAAGGGTGCCTGGGTGGCACAGTTGGTTAAGTGACTGCCTTCGGCTCAGGTCATGATCCTGGAGTCCTGGGATCGAGTCCCACATCGGGCTCCCTGCTCGGCAGGGAGTCTGCTTCTCCCACTGATCTCTCTCATGTTCTCTCTCTCTCAAATAAATAAATAAATAATTTTTTTTTTTTTTTAAAGGGGGTTTTATAATTCTACTTAAGGGGGAAGTTTTCTGGGGAAAAGATAAGTTTTCTGAATTAAACACAGGAGAAACAATATCATGTAATCCCCAAAATGGAAACAGATCCTTTAAATGAACATTTTAGTTGAAGAGCAGAAAAGGATCGCTAAAGTAATCTCTTCTATCCTACTGTCATTTTTAAACTATACCCATGCTGTTCTGTAGCGTAGACTTCTAGACAAACAAGTTAGAAACTTTTTTTACAACTATTCCAAATTTGCCAACTCACATTGTTAAGACATGCTTATTGAATATTAACTTAAAATTACATCTGAGAAAAATAATTTCACTTCTTAAGGGAAAAGACTACTATTAAAAGAAAAATGTTCTGTACTGAAATTACTGTGCTAAAAAGTCATATCCTAATTATAAAAAATTACCTGTTAGATCTAATTTGTAGATTACAGGATGAAAAAAACTCTATTCTGACCAATGACTGAAAACCTTTCAAAGTTCCATTGCTACATTAGTCAGTCGGGTTCACCGGGACATGCACAGACGGACCGGCCTGCCACGTGCTCGCAGGCGAGCTCACAGAGCGCGACTGCGTTTAACGTGTAATTTCAAGTAATGCGGAAGACCTGCCTGAGGGCCTGAGGCAGCCAGAGACTCTTGCGGACGCCGTCACAGAAGGAGAGAGGACGGCGCTATGTGCGTATTCCCGCTAGCTTCTGAAAATGTGAGTGAGAAAAACTAAAGGTGACAAGAAAAAAAAATCCTTCACAGCTCTTGTTTTCCCTGAAACAACTATTTTACTCCCCTTTGCATGACAGAACTTCTTACCACATATACTAAAATCAAGTTTCAAGCGCTTCGACGGTCCCACAGCCGAGAAGTATAACTGACCAACGACTGACTCGCGTACATCGCCGCCGCAATCGTGGTCAGGTCCGTTAAAAAGGCTGGTATTATCTTCATGTACTAATTATTCTCCTTTTTAAGTTCTTAATTTATTTTTCATAATCTCCACACCCCAGCTGTGGGCCTCGAACTCGTGACCCCGAGGTCAAGAGCCACCCGCTGTCCCGGCTGAGCCGGCCAGGCGCCCCGCTATTCTTTAGCGCGTTCAAAGCTGCCTCTTGAGCCACTTCAAACTCTGCAGTTTCCCGCCGGCCAGGAGGTAGGGCCGCCGGCGGACTAGACTTCCTTTCTGCCCCTGAGGGCTGGTCGCAGAAAACCATAAGAAACAAGTGAAATTCCTAAGATCGCATCGGGGGCGCCCGCGGCTCGGTCCGCGACGCGGATCCCAGGGTCAGGTCCCCAACAGGCTCCCTGTTCAGCCCGGCCGCTTCTCTGTCTCCCTCTGCCCCCTCCCCGCTGGCGCTCCCTCTAATCGACGAGTAGGATCGTTTGTGAGCAAAGTAACACCGAGTTCTAAGATAAATAAGAAAACGACGAAATGTAATACGGAAGCAATGACGGCTGAAGGGACCGAAGCGTCCGCGGCCAGGGCGCGGCCGCCCTCTCAGTTGGGGTTAGGGTTGGGGTCGAGCGTCCAGCCGGCGGGCAGCGACGCCCGAGGGTGCTGGAGGCGGGGCCCAAGCCCCTGCGACACTCGAGCCAGCGTGCACCCCCGTCGGGCACAGTTTCGCTCTGTTCTCGCGTGACCGCGCACCGCGAGCGCACACGGTCTCGGGGCGGCGGCGCCGCAGGGGGAAGCCACGCGACCGCTCGTCTCAGGGTCCGGAGAGGCTCCGGCTCCGGCGTCCCGCCCAGAGCTTTCCCGGCGGCCCGCGACACGCCGGCTCCGAGCCGCGTCCCAGCTCTTCTCGGCACGACGGAGGACCGCGGCGGTCGGCAGAGCAGGGGCCGGCGGTGGGGCCGCTGACGGGGTCACCCGAGCACTGAGTCACCGTGCGGCACACCGAACACTCCGCAGACACGCGAACTGAAATGAAGCCCGAAAACGAGGCCCAGGTCCTGAGGAGCTCCCGTGGGCAAAGAGGAAACAAACGCGACAGAACGTGACGTTGCTTCAAGGGCGGGCTTCGGGCCACCCTGGGCCAGCCTGGCTGCGCCACCAGGACCCTGCGCGCCACGCGGGGCACACAGCTGCCGCCGCCACCGAGCGCTCGCCTCCAGCGCGTCAGGGTGCGGGGCCTGTGGCCCCCGGGTCTGGCCGGCACCGCACCGGCCTCGGGCGCACGACGGAGTCCGGAGACCGCGCGGAGGACAGAGACAGGATCCCCGCGGTCCCCAAGGAGGCTGAGCAGCGCGGACACGGCGGGGTCGTCGCGTGACCCCGGGTCGCCACCTGCCAGCGCCGCAGCGCCTTCGTCACGACAGTCCCGGCAGGGGGTCCCCGCGGGAGCGCGAGCCGCCGTCCTTCCCGCGTCCCCACACGCGTCCCGCCTGCGCAGAGCCGCTGGAGCCTCGGGACCGGAAGCCACGGCTCACGGCGGGCGCGGCCAGGTCCCGCCGGCTCCTGACGACGGCCGGCCCTCAGCGCGGACTCCCGGGAGCGCGCCGCGGGACTGGGAAGCGGCGCGGGCTTCGGGATCCGAGAGCGCGGCCCGGAGTGTCCCCACGCCCGGAAGCTGGAGACGCGCTCCTTGTGCCGCTGCTTCTATCCCGGCCCCAGCGCGGCTCTCGGGGCCACCGGCGGGCAGCGGCCGGCACGGCCCAAGGAACACCTGCCCCGCGGGGCTACGGCGGACGGGGCGGGCGAGCGGCCGCACGCCTGTGAGCACCCGGACGACGTGGGCGCAGACGGCGGGCCCCGCGGGTCCCAGTGGCCTCTGGGACCCCGAAAGGTGGAGGCCGCGTCCCCGGTGTCAACCAGCGGTCTCCGGTGACGCGGGTCACGGGACACAGCCCCAAGCGGCCTCCCGGAGTCTGAGCCAACCAGCTGGGCGCGCGGCCTGAGCCCCCGCCCGAGCCCGCGGAAGGTCCGAACCGGCCTCGGCACCGAGCCGCTCCGCGCGAGCCGCAGCTGGGGCCCTGCGCGACGCCGCCCCGCGCCCCGGGCCGCCGCGTGCCTGCCGGTCCCCGGACCCCGCGACCCCCGCCCCTTCTGCGCTCCCCCCAGCCCCTCGCAATCCCCGGGCCCCGCCGCCCCGCGCCCCTGACCCTTCTGCGCCGCGCACCCCGCCGCCCCGCAATCCCGGGACCCCCGGCCGCCCAGCCTCACCTCCAGGCGCGCCGCCCCCCGCGCCGGCCGGGCCCCAGCGCCCCGCGACCAGCTGAAAGAGGAGGAGGAGGCGGAGCGGGCGGGACCCCCACGCAGACATCGCCTGGCCCCTCGCGGGAACGCCGGCGGCCGCCTCACGACGGCCGCGCGGGAAAGGAACTCGGGCTCCAGCGGGCGGAAGCCCGGGGAGGGGCAGGAGCCGACCGAGAACGGACGCCGCTGCGGAGGGGCTGCTCCGCGAGCGCGCCTCAGTCCGGTGCCAGCGGGGCCACCTCAGCCTGCAGGGCTCCCGCCGGCTCGCGGCGCCTGAGGAGACTCCGCGCGCGTGAGGAGGCTCCCGGCGCTTGAGGGGGCTCGCGCGCCTGGTCCCGCCCCTTTCCCGCCCCTTCTCATTGGCCCCGCCCGCTCGCCCGTAGCTCCGCCTCCGTTTTCCCCAGCCCGCCTTTGGCCTCTTGGCTTAGAAGTTAGCCTAGAGCCAGAGCTCCGCCTTTTCCGCGCCTGGCCCCGCCCCCAATGCCCCCCCCTCTTAACTGGCCGGACTCCGCGCCCCAATGCCGGCGGCTGCAGCCAAGCCCTCAATCCCGGGAAGGGGGAGACCGGGCCTGGCGCCGCTGGCCGGTCCCTCATCTGGCCTCCGGCGACCTGGGCAGGCCCCCAGCTACCTGTGGTCACCATCACTGATTAACGTCCGCGCTGTGTGCCGCTCCGGGGGCGACGGGCCCACAGTCTGCGCCCCGCCCACAGGAGGAAGTCCTTCCCCGTCCTCAGGACAATCGCTGAGGAACCAGGGCGCGGGCTGAAGCGCGAGGACGTGGTGGGGGGGGACGCCTGTCCGCTCCCCAGTCCCTGAAGCCAAGCGTGGGGACCCGGGGGGCCCAGTCCGGACCCTCCTTCAGGCGCCCGCAGATATGACACGCAGCCGTCTCGGCGCAGGCCGTGCCCCACCCCATGTGCCGGACCATGAGCGTCTGTAAGCGGTGCCCACCCCCCCCCCCCCCAGCGGGAGGCGGTGCCCCCCCTCGTGTGTTGGACCATGAGTGTCTGTAAGCGGTGCCCCCCACCGTATGCCGGACCATGAGCATCTGTAAACGGTGCCCCCCCACCATGTGCCCGTCCATGAGCGTCTGTAAAGATTGATGACTCCATGCAACAGAAATGCAGCCACTGGCCCGGGCAGACTGCTGGTGTGCCATCGGCAATCCCTCCCGACCCTGCATTTCATTCTCTCTGCTCATAATTGATTAGAAAGCTTCGTTTGGCTGAAGAGGTTCAGGCGAACTGACTTTAAACTTACGTGGCAGAGCGTTTCGCTGATTTTTCACACTTCTAAGACTCCTCTCATGAGCAGGAATTTCACACCAAGCTCCAGACCCGGAAAGTCTGATAAAAAAACCTGGTTGTAAAGAATGTTAAAATGGTTAAGTTCAGGTAAGACTTCTCCCCTCGGTCTAAGTACAGCCAGGAACATGGAGACAAAGCCCAATGATGCTGCTCTGCTGGGACCACGGAGAGGGGTCAGGTGAGTCCCCACTGACACTCCTGCACTGGAAGGAAAGTACGTGTGGTCCCTTCGCTGCACACTTGTTTGCTCCGCTCAGCAGATGGGGCGCATAGACTCTCACACAGCTCAGCAGGACAGCATCTGAGCAAGGCAAGTGTTACTGCACTTTCACAGCTAGGGGACTGGAAGCAGCTTGGCTGAATCACGGCAGGAGGGCACAGGACCTTTCCAGGGAAACCTGGGTGGCGTCAGCCCCATCAGCAAGCATAACTGCAATTCCCGGACCTCTCCCAGGAGTTCTATCAATAACCACGAGAATAGTGGTGATGGACACAGTCTGGGGAAAGGACCACTCGTTGTGACTGCTTGTACATGAAAGGCATAGTGAGAAATTTGTTGGGCACTTTAAAATCCAACCATAATTATGGAACATAAAGTGTGCATCTTGGATGGCTTTTCTGGAAGGATATGCCCGTCACTCTCAGTTGCTGGCTGCAGTGGCCACACCTGACTCTGGTAATAGGCATCGTCACACCGCTAGGAGACACGGCTGACACAGGGCGTGAATGCCACAGCTCCCACCGACCACGTCCCCTAACTCAGCATCCGATTCCGGCACTCTGAGCTTTGACCCAAGGGGCTGCCCTACACATCTGCATCCCAGACACACTGCCCTCTGACCAGAGTGGGGTTCTCACCCCACATCCCTGCCTGCGGCCATCCTCCTCCACCCCTTCTTGGAATATCCACATCTACCATTTCTTCAGGAACCCCCTCAAATGCTGCTCACCCCATGAAGCACAGCCTGGTGCCTCCCAGCCTTAGCCACCTCCCTTCTCTCAGGACCCAGAACACTCGTCTCTTGCATTCCTACTTTCCATCTTTTTCTCTCTAAATCTTATGTCCTCTCCTAGATAATGAGCTCCCAGGCCTAGAATCTGCCCACGAGCCCGTCAGTGCCCCGCCACAGAAAGTGGAACTTAATCATCACCACGTTAACCTTGCTAAGGAGTGGGGGGCTGTCATGACCTACGCACTCTTTAAATACACAAGCCCACTTGATCTCAAGCTGTCCAACAAGGGCAGTGTCGTGTCAACTTCGAGCTGCCCTGTCCTCCATTCTCTTCGTGGGTCCCTGCTCTTCCGCCCAGACTGCATGCTGGGAAGTGCACCTGCTCAGACCCCACACTCTGTGATCGTGGGCATGGAGGGGTCTCCCACATACTGACATGAGCAGATGCACACTCGGGTGCTGATCTCACCTCGGAGCCCCAGTGTGTCCCCCTGGGTCACTTGCACCAGGCACTTAGGAAGTCCCAGTCCAGCCTGGCCTCTCGTTCTTCCCAGCTCAGTCTGTGGCACCACCATGCAGCGACTTACTCCAGCTAAACACGGCATGCTCAGGTCCCCCCCCCGACCCCCACCTCGCTAGGCACATCCAGCGCCCCTTGGCTCATCACCTGACTAATCCTTGAACCCGTCCCTATTCCTCCCTCCTACCGCTGCAGGCATCTCCAGCTTAGCCTGCTGCCCAGCGCGCCCCAGCACATTCTGCAGAGGGCAATGAGTGATCATCTGAACGTGGAAAGCCAAAGCCCAAGTCCGTGCCAGGGCCCTCGGAGTAGCCCGGCTGCCCTCACTAGTGCCAGCTTCACCCCTCCCCCTTACACCCGCCTTCCCGGTGTTCCGGTGTTCCAGGTGCCTGCCCTTTCTCTCTTAGCCCCACCTCCCCTGGGGTGTCTGATTCCTGTCACCTTCTGAGAGACAAACCAGCCCTGTGGTCGGGTCCTCCTCTCCCTCTGCGCCCTCCCCTCAGCACATGTCACAGTCTGTGTGATTCGTGCCCTTCAGTATGCGGTCCCTCCCGTGGGACATTTGCTCCCAAAGGCTGAAGCTGTGTCTGCCTCGCTCACCCGGCTGCACCCGGCGTTTGGAGCACCGGTCGAGGCTCAGACCGTTTGCTGGGTAAATGCATGAATGCTGGGGAGTCTGCCCCAGATCTCGGAGCTAGCGAGCCGAAGATGGTGAGCGGGGACTCAAACCCAGGCCTCGGAGACCACCATTCTGAACGAATGCGCTCTGTGGGCCCCACCCCAATCCTTTTTTTTTTTTAATTCAGTTAATTAACACACAGTGTATTATTGGTTTCAGAGGCAGAGGTCAGGGATTCACCAGTTGCATATAACACCCAGCGCTCATCACCTCACGTGCCTCCTCAAATGTCCAAACCCCTGCTACCCTAGCCCCAACCTCCAGCAACCCTCTCTTGTGGTTTGTCTCTCTCTCTCTCTC